TGAGGAACCTTGTCCTCAGTGTGAGGTACCTTGTCCTCAGCTTGAGGAACCTTGTGCTCAGCATGAGGAAGCTTGTCCGCAGTGTGAGGTACCTTGACCTCAGTGTGAGGTACTTTGTCCTCAGCGTGAGGAAATTTGTCCACACTGTGGTGTACCTTGTCCTAAGTGTGAGCTACCTTGTCTTCAGCGTGAGGTACCTTGTACTCAGCGTGAGGAACCTTGTCCTCAGTGTGAGGTGCCTTGTCCTCAGTGTGACGTGCCTTGTCCTCAGTGTGAGGTACCTTGTCCTCAGTGTGAGGTACCTTGTACTCAGCGTGAGGAGCCTTGTCCTCAGTGTGAGGTACCTTGTCCTCAGCTTGAGGAACATTGTCCTCACTGTGGTGTACCTTGTCCTAAGTGTGAGGTACCTTGTCTTCAGCGTGAGGTACCTTTTACTCAGCGTGAGGAACCTTGTCCTCAGTGTGAGGTACCTTGTCCTCAGTGTGACGTGCCTTGTCCTCAGCTTGAGGAACCTTGTCCTCAGTGTGAGGTACCTTGTGCTCAGCTTGAGGAACCTTGTCGTCAACTAGAGGAACCTTGTCCTCAGTGTGAGGTACCTTGACCTCAGTGTGAGGTACCTTGTCCTCAGCGTGAGGCACCTTGTCGTCTGCGTGAGGAAACTTGCCTTCTGCGTGAGGAACCTTGTCCTCAGCGTGAGGAACCTTTACTCACCGCAAGATCAGGCCATACTGGCCTCAAGGAAATGGAGAGGCCGAGCGTTTTATGCGCACACTACAGAAATGTATTCGGGCTGCAATCATCGAGAAGAAAAACTGGAAGCAAGCGATGAACCAGTTTCTCCTCAACTACAGGGCAACCCCCCATTCCACTACTAACATATCCCCCTCCGAAAGCCTCAACAACAGGAAGATAAAGACAATGTTACCGGAGATGCCCTCTAGTTCAAAACCAGAACAGACAGCAATGGCTGAATATGATGCTTGGAAGAAAGAACAAATGAAATCTTGCCCAGACAACCATCGGGGTGCCAAAGAAAGTTGCATCAAACCAGGTGACACCGTCCTTCTGAAACAGCCGAAGGAAAACAAATTCAGTGCTCCATACAACCCTCATCCTTTTGTCGTAGAAAAGAAAAAGGGAACAATGGTCACTGCCAAGAATGATTCAAAGGTTGTCACACGAAACTCCTCGCAATTCAAGGTGATCTCAACCAAGTCAGCCAAACACAATGACAAGGAAGTTGAACCAAAGGTTCCAAGACCATCAAACCCCCAAGAACAAAAAACACTTCAACAAAGACCGAAACGGAACGTAAGACAGCCAGCAAGGTTCGCGGACTATGTAAACTATGAACCAATGTGAACCAAATGACAGTTCGGACAATATCACTGTCCACAGCATATTAGTCAAAGGAACAGTGACTCGGACACGTTAATGTTTATATTAATAGATGGAACTATCATCTGACAAAGGGAGGGATATAATATAGTTAATAAGCTCATTGTTGTTTTGTTGCCTTGGCGCGCAGGTGGACCGCGTGCGGGGTCTGAGACTAAGACTTTTTGGCGCCAATAGGTATAGTTTTATTAGTTAGTTAGGAACCTTGTCCTCAGTGTGATGTACCTTCTCCTCAGTGTGAGGCACCTTGTCCTCAGCGTGAGGAACCTTGTCCTCTGCGTGAGGAATCTTGTCCTCTGCGAAAGGAACCTTGTCCTCACCTGAGGAACCTTGTCCTCACCGTCAGGAACCTTGTCCTCAGCGTGAGGAACCTTGCCTCAGTGTGACGTACCTTCTCCTCAGTGTGAGGCACCTTGTCCTCAGCGCGAGGAACCTTGTCCGCTGCGTGAGGAATCTTGTCCTCTGCGTGAGGAACCTTGTCCTCACCGTCAGGAACCTTGTCCTCAGCGTGAGCAACCTTGTCCTCAGCGTGAGGAGCCTTGTCCTCAGTGTG